GTTATCTTTACCAGATTATCGTTGGTCCTATTACATCAGCATTAAAAAATTTAAAATGTAAGAAGCTACGTTATCCACTTCATTTTTGAAACGATTTTTTCATGATGTAATCAATTTGTCTAGATAGACTAACAATCATGTGAATGTCTCACTTAAATGGTGGGTAGATTAAAGCTTAAACATCATTTCATGGTTTGATTTACGTTCATGAAATCGCCAAACACGTAAGGTGGATACACTTCTTTGCAGAGTTATTTATATATTTGTGAAGAGTCATTATATCGTCCACTACAAAACTAAAAGTTTGAAAGGGAAGCTGGTAATTAAAGGTATATGTAAAAGCGTTTATTATTCACTTGTGAGGTTTACAAGCTTGGATAAATTTCGAGGTATACTGACATCGGTTAAATAATTCAAAACGTTTTAACAACTGCTTCATTCCTTTTCGGTAGTTCAAAGTAAAAGAGAAATACAGCCCTATTTGGGATTGACCTAGTGACCATCAGTTTCACACTTGTTCACTCAGAAACTGGTTTATAGCATCTCAGTATATGTATCCTTCCTTCTCTTAATTCAGAACTTAATGTTACAGCAATCAAAATAATCAGTGAGTAGCTATCTTGACAGTAAATTTAGTTGACTCTACTAGCTAAAGCGTCCCAATAGAACGTCTGTAAACTTTCGGGTCAGTCAGAAACCTTCCTGAAAGTGGAATTAACAGTTTCTCGAAGGAAATACACATAAATAGTGAAATAACACGACAAGAATTTAAACCAGCAGCCTGGTGGAAAAAATCTAATCTCATGTTTTGCACAGGATTTCATCAGTATATTCCACACCCTTCAAAGCCAGTTACGTGGTTTCCGAAGTTAATTTATTTTTCACTATGGCTTACATAGTTTAACTTATCTTCAAATTTTGACGCTGTATCAACTTGGTACTGATAAACGTTGGATTGTCGACATCTTTAAGTTTTTTTTCAATCAACACAACTACTTCTGTTTGAAGTGTGACACACTGCATTTCATAAAGATGACAGACTTCAGACGTTATATTAATCCACTAACTCTACAACTATTAGCTTGAATATTGTTGTTATTTGTAGCTCATTTAGTTTGAATTCTTAGGGCATGAATAGTTGAGTATTGTGAGTAACATGATCCAAATGTAGTCACAAGAACAGTGCAGCCACTTTTAACATTGATTTTGGTAAAGACTTAACTAGTTCTCACCTAGCCTATTGACGTCTTACATTTTAAACTGTGATATCTTTGACCTTGTAACTTCCAACATAAATTTTCTTCATTATTTAAAAACATGAGATTTAGGAATGAAAAGCAACTTATACTTTTATAAATGCACTCTGTCTATGTGACTTACAGTGTGCATTAAAGAAGCTTTTAACTGTTATCCAACCATAACAGGTTACCTAAAGTTTACTTACGACACCGAATCTTACTAGCATCCTATAAAATGAACATAAAAAACTGTAGCTGAGCTGATATGCTATCTAGCTAAAAAATGCGTTTTTGATTGAGCAAACTGACATTTTGGAAACGTATGCTTCCAAGACCTGTGTGGATAAGCCGGACCGCATAGGAAGCCTGAAGGTAGTGTACACTAATATACGTAGTATCGGTAACAAATTTCACGAGCTAGGTGTATTAGTGGAAGACCTTAGCCCAAGTATTGTGGCCATTACTGAAACATGGCTGGTTTCTGGATTAGATGACACACCTGAGCTATGCGGATATAGTTGCTTGCGCAGCGACGGGGTAATGGTCGTAGAGGTGGCGGGGTTGCTCTGTACATCAACAACTCCCTACATGTTCGTTCCGTGAAATCTGAAGCGCATGACAGTGGGACAAGTGAGGTGATTAGCTGTGAAGTAAGCTTTGCAACTGGCACTTTACTCATTGGAGTTCTGTATAGAAGTCCCTTTTGTCAGTGTGATGACTTTATTTTAGATCACCTCAAACAATGGAGTGAACACAGTAGCTGTCTTTTTCTAGGTGATTTTAATGCACCTCATATAGACTGGGTAGCTGTCACATCTCCAGGATCCGCTAATAAGTTTGACAGCCGGTTACTCTTGACTACCATGGAAAATGCCCTGACACAACATGTCTTAGGTAGTACAAGATTCGGTTCTACCCAAGGATCTTCCTTGCTGGACTTAGTGCTTACTCATGACAACGACGACGTGGATGGTCTAGTTATTCATCCACCTCTAGCAAACAGTGATCATGGGGTGTTAGATTTTAACTTAAGGGTTGGCAATTTAGTCAGTTTTCAACCCAAATTCCGACCTAGTGTTTGGCATGCTGACATAGTCGCTATAAGGGAGCGTGCTTCAACTGCCGACTGGTCAGTCAATATGGTCTCATCCATTGAAGATGAATGGGATAGATTTAAGAATACACTTGAGAGGGTTACCACTGATTTCATTCCCTGGAGGGTTCCTGAAAGACCAACAAATCGGCCACCATGGATAAATAGACAAGCTATAGCACCCCTAAGATGGAGAAAAAGGTTCTGGAATCTCTTTGTTTCTACTGGGCTACAGCAGTTCCGGCTGAAACACTGTGAAACCAGAAACCAGTGTAAAACTTTGATTCACCAGTCAAGGATAGCTCACGAAAGCCAGTTAGTTTAAAGTTCACCAAGCTGCCCGAAAAGACTCTTCTTATATATCAAGAGAAGAACACGTAAGAGCGATGCTATCCCACCTCTTATGCTTGAAGATGACCAGACAAACATGGCTGAGGATAACTTGACTAAGGCTGAGGCTTTGTCCAAGCACTTTAGTCAAGTATTCTCTGATAATATTGATACCAGCTTTTAACTTTTCCAGAAGGTAACTTGAAAATGGCACCCTTATACATTGGAAAGGATACTGTCCCAAAGTGGCTTCTAAGGCTCAATCCTGGTAAGTCCAGTGGCCCTGATGAACTCCACCCACGTATATTAACAGCATTGGCTGAAAATATAGCCGAACCATTGTTGGTAATCTTCAATATGTCTCTAGACCAGTCTAAATGTCCAAGAGACTGGAAAGATGCCATCATTAGTCCGGTCTTCAAAACCGGATCTAGAAACTTAGTTCAGAACTATCGTCCTGTTAGTTTGACCAGTTTGTTGTTAAACTACTAGAAAGAACAATTCGTGATGCTATCATTCAGTTCATTGAAGGGAACAAACTCTTCGCTGTGGAACAGCATGGTTGTAGAGCAGGTCATTCTTGCTTGACCAACCTTCTTTTGGCCAGAGAAAGTTGGGCAAGCCCAGCTGATGCTAATATACCGGTGGATGCCATATTCATCGACCTTAGCAAGGCGTTTGACAGGGTTTCTCATTCAGCTCTTCTAGTAAAGTTAGGTAGTCTGGGAATCAATAAAGTGGTTGCCGACTGGATTCAAGACTTTCTAAAGGACAGAAGACAAAGAGTACCAGTTAATGAGGTTTTATCGACATGGGAATCGGTTAAGAGTGGCGTTCCTCAGGGTACAATTCTAGGCCCAATTCTTTTCCTGATTTATGTTAATGAGATTCCATCGGTAGTTAAGTCATCCTGCTTACTGTTTTCTGATGACATCAAGATATGGAGGGCTTTACACAATGACAGTGATCAACTTGCTTTGCAGGAAGATTTAAACTTGTTAAGTGATTGGTGTAAGCACTGGGCCTTGGAGATTGACTTAAGCAAGAGTGAAGTTATGCATGTATTTCATAGTCACGTGCACAATTACTCAATGAATGGCATTACTCTCCCAGTTGTCACTGAGTACAAGGACTCGGGAGTGGTTGTGCAGCATGACTTGGAAACAGCAACAAACTGTAGAGCTGCCGCAACTAAGGGTTTTCGAATATTGTGGGCCATACGCAAGGCTTTTGCGAAATTTCACGCTGATATATTTCGTATATTATATCCGACTTATATCAGACCTCATTTGGAATATGGGATCCAGGCAGCGAGCCCGTGTTTCAAATACGAAATAGACTTATTAGAAAGGGTGCAAAGAGTAGGAACTAAGCTAATAAAGGGTTTCTCAACCCTCTCATATGAGGAGAGGTTAAGTCGACTGGGTTTATTTCCGCTGTCATACAGACGACTTAGGGGTGACCTAATACTAGCATACCGTATCCTAAGAAATTATTTTGGAGCTAATTTATCTAATTTATTTCTTCCTTCTAGCACCAACCAATTGCGAGGACATCACCTGAAAGTGCTAAAACCACGGTCGAATCGTCTGCGTCTGGAGATCCGTTTTTCGCATCGAATTGTGAACCATTGGAACTCCCTACCGGAACACGTCGTATCAGCGCCATCCGTTGATTCATTCAAGGTGAGATTGGACCTCCTGTGTGTAACAAATCGAAATGATTAACACAGGCATATAGCCTACTATCCTAAATAAATTATAAACTGTAGTATGCACACGCAGAATATAGCCGATCATCTATTTCCTTCACTGATAATTTTATATAGCAATTAGGATAAATAGTACTAACATAGAAAACAATTCCAAACATTTCTTGTAACTAATAAATTCACAATCTTAGTTTACTAATCTTCAAGAAAACTATTCATACTGTATACTTTTAATTGTAAAATCTACAACTATCAGATAACGTTGGACAGAACAAAGAAAATACATACGCGTGTATGCTTTTGCACATGTGAGTGCCTGTTAGGCAAACTTTTTTGACAAATATACTTTTATATTGAAATACGCAATAAGAAATTGACAAATAATAATAAAATAACACTACGATTATATGAAAGAAACTAGTGAAGGAAAAAAAGAAGACTGTTATCTCTTATGAAAAGAAAATCTATGAAAATAGGGAAGTAAACAACATCAACTTCGATGAGAGTTTTAGATAAATGAAAGATATGAATTGGCAATAATTAGGAAGAGGATGAAATTTCTTGGTGAATACATTTCATCTGGTCGTCACAAATTCTTCATGATTAGTTTTTGTTTGTTTTTTTGTCTTCAATCAAAATCACGAAATCTTCTTGGCACAGGATTATAAAAGCACATCCGATACTCGGGGAAACAACGACACCGATGATGCCGTTTAATCTCGTTACTGCCAGATGGAATAAAACTCATGTAGTACCATTCAGTACAATCGTATTTTTGGCATAAATCAAAACATCTTCTTGCCGTTGGTACAACACACAAAAAGTTCCCTGTAGCTGTTAATTTTAATAAATAAGAAGAATGTATAGAACATTTTTTAGTGCAGAATCTTTCGACAAGCTATAGAACTTCAAAACTAAGCAACTATCTTAATATATTTCTGTCTTTGAAATTATTTTATTAACCAAATAAGAAGTAACAAGGAATTGTTGATCACTCGCCATGATAAAAGTACACGTATAGTTTTATAGGACAGAAATTCTTTCAAACAACAAATGCACTTTATCTGATAAGGAGAAAGATAAAACAGAAATGAGTGAAATGTAACTCAACGGAATATTGAGACTGCTACAAAATGATCAACTTATCTCTGTAGATGTCTACGAAAACACCCGACCAATCGGTTCAATAATACTCCAACTGTATGGATTACCGAAAAAAATGTAAACATCGACCTCCGTTGTGCCCTGTTTTGGACATGTTCGGATCTTCATATCATCCAGTTGCAAAATGGCTAGCATGACTGCTACAGTCTGTTAAAGAAAAAATTCCAAAATGTTGTCTTCGAGACACGTTTGAATTTGTTAACTGTATCAAAAAGATGTGAAAGTGGGCAACAATTGCATGATATCACTGGACATCGAATCTGTCTTCACAATGTCCCGATTACAGAGAAGATTTGTTTCCTGAAATTCCAATTCGCATTCAGTGGTACTATCTACACACAGCAGGATGGCGTAGCTATAAGACCACCTCCAGGTCCGGTACTTATAGACGTTTTCATGACAAATTTGGAAAGTGATCCATTAAAATCCATCACTTACCTTTTCAACGATACGCTTATCATTTGTAACAAGAAATGTGACCTAAATATTGTCCTATAAGTTTTCTGTAGTTGTCATCCAGACATAAATTTGCGGTTAAAGCAAAAACTGAACAAACAATCTTCTTTCTGCACGTTCGACTAACAAAGAAGTTTGATGGAACATTCAACAGATCAGTAAATAGAAATCCTAAGTGGAACGGCCAGTTGACAAACTTTTACAGGTGAGCAAACAAAGAACGCAAGTCAAACCTGACGCTATCTCTTATGATGAGGATCTGAAGAATTTTCAGTCCTGATTCGGTAGGTGAAGAGGTCGCTATTTTAAGGAAGACACTAAATGAAAATGGCTACCTCCGAGCTTAAAAGACAAATACAAAAAACCCAAAACTAACAAAGAAAACTACATCTCTCTGCAGGAGATGATGCCTCACATGAACGTGTCGTTCAAAGACAACCTTCTGGCTGAAACTCTAAACAAGGGAATTTCAAACGCTCTGAAAAGAACATTGCTTGCTTCCACATTAATGTTGGTATTCTTTTGCCGCCCAATGTTCTGCAATAACTATTACATTTTACCATTCCTCTGTGTATCTGCCAATTTGCCTGCTACTGTTCAGAGGTATATAGGTTTTTCAGTGCGTATATCAACTAAGAGAGTCACGGAACATTATACCGCTTGGCTATAGAAAAGTCACAATTGATCAATAAAAAGTGCTATAACTCAACAAATATGTATATATTCGTTCAAAGTTATCTACATAGCTAAAAGAAGCCGTAAAACACTGTATGCTTCCACATACTTTGCATTGCTGAGGCTTTAACGGTTTGGTTGGAAAACCCCGATTTAATCAAAAGAATCACCAGCTGTTGGAAAAAGTTTAATGTTTTATGCAAACTGTAGGAAAAAATAATGGCTTCATCTGTCCTACCCTAAAACCTGACTTTTCTCTTGATATATGCTCATAGTAAACCGGATAAAAACCAAATGAAACCATATGAATTAAATAAATTCTCATTTTTTCTGCGACACATCTGGTTGTAAAGAAATCTTTTGTCTCATTCAACAATGGCAATTAGATGAAATAAATATATATTAACTATTCTAGACCCTTTCAGCTAGTTAGATGGTTGTCGTACACTACTGATGAATGAAATGAATGGAAAAGACTAGTTAGGTGGGATTAAGATTGTGACAGCTAATCTGATTGCAGATGATTTGGGTAGATTTGCATAGAGTTTTGTAAAGTGTTCCTCTTCTGTTCATACTAAGGCCAAATTAAATCAGTGGTTATCATTTTGTTCTGTGGTGCAGTAACATACACCAACTCGAGTCTTACTCATTCTCTCATATATACATATATTGTTTGGAGGATTTAATTATGAGCTGACATCGGTTAGAGAACCATTGGAAACCTGCAGGAAGTACTGCATAGTGGTTTTGTCGGCCTAGTTTGGGACTCTTCATCAGCACGCACCCACCAACGGGGTTTGAATCCATGACCTTCTTGTTACAAGGCGAGCTCATAGACCATTAAGCCACTGAGACCCGATCCAATGGCTCATGAATTCTAACTTCTACCAATTTATGACATAGCGCGACCACTTCACATTGTCTTCTTCGATGAGTAACTGTACTCACCTTTCCTGCCTATGCCCTATTGGTATATATATATAGCGATTTCGCTTCTTCAGAAAATTTCAGATATTACTTTCTGCAATAATAACGAATATCGGAATTTAAAAGATGGATTCCGAGACATTCACATTTATAAATTCAATTCATATTTTCACCTGACTGTGTGGACACTGAGGCAGTAACTGATAACTAGCAATCATAAATTACAACAGAGTTCAATTAAACAGAAAAGAGGGATTAAAAGTCAGTATTATTTTCTGAACTTATAACACTATCCACTACAAATACTTTAGAAATGTTGATAGCTTAATGGGTATTGCTGACTTAAAACTTTGTCATCCAAAAGTCTACAACTTCAGAGACTATAAGTATTTCCCATCTCATCCTGCTGTTCGTCGGATTTCGTCTGTTCTGAAAAAATTGCAACAATCATCACTGTCAACTGAATTAAAGAATGTTAAAATAATGCTTCATGGGATGCTATAAAATAAATAATTATAAGTCACAAACTGATTCATGTCAATGAATACTGGCGATGAACTCAAATTCAGAGTTTCACATGGTGCAATGTTTTGAAACAAATTGATATTGGAAGCATCTATTAAATGTATTAAACTATTCACCGACTTCATCATTTTTGATGGCTGAAAATAACCTCTTAAAAAAGTTAAATATTCCTGGTGCCTTGAGTAAACTATTTCATAGCAGAATTTCCTACACCTACTGTGGATTTAATTCTAACTAGGCAGTTTTAGAAAATGAAAGTCAAATATTTTAAACTATTAAAATGTTTTCGTCAAATCCTTCTTTATTACCATTTATACGAAGCAGATAAGTTAATTCATAGTATAACCAAAAAGTTAATCATACTGAAGTCTGTACTGAAGATAAAGTCTAGGAAGATAATAAACGTTTGACAGTTAAACCATACAGCTAACGGAATACACGTAGACCATTGTTACCTGAAGTTCCAGTGGGAAGTCGTGACAAGTAGGGCACAGCAGGTCGGATTTGAGGGCAAATACTCGCCGATGACAATGACTAGTGGTGGCGCTAAATCGTGAGTTGGCAGAAGTTGGAATTCATGGGATGGCCAATTGGATAGGATCCCAGTGGCTTAATGTTCTAGGAGCTCGCCTTGTAACCAGAAGGTCCTGGGTTCGAAACCCGCTGGTGGGTGTGTACTTCTGAAGAGTCCTAGAGTAAGACGAAACAGTCGTTCAGTACTCCCTACAGGTTTTCCAATAGTTCTCTAACCGATGTCAGCTCATGATGAAATCCTGTAACTAAAAAATCTTTCTCTCCTGGCCTCATCATCTGATATTGTTTCCTTTAACCGAAAACCTGAACTTGATTGAAGATGAACATTAATTACTCTTTATGGGAATTACCATTTAAAATATTCGTTTTACTGTCCGCTAAATCTTACTGATATGCAGGAATTATTCTAAATTTCATTTTTTTTTCCCACATTATATAATCCACTTGATATGAGTAGTAGAGCTCGTGGTATATACTAAGATGACTGGAAGTTGAAAATATGTTTGCACTGAAACCAATGAATTTTTCCACATATTGGTTTTTTCCTTTTTGAAGAAAACTAGATTGCATTTCTCCAGGAATGAATTTCTTGCTCACTGATGAGCTTCAAACTTTAGTTTAGCAGAACTGACAGTTCATATAAATGTCACCCGATAGGTGTGGTGCATTATATATACATATTTTTTTTTATTATAGCTTGAAACCACACAGTATTTTTGTTACAAGTATGGAACTTTCAGCATGTGATATCGATAGCCCAATTTTTGCAGGCCAACCATAGATATCAGGTGTGCGTCGGCAGGGGGTCGAACCCCGGACCATATGCATGGTCGGCGAGAGTCCTAACCCCTGTGCCATCATCATCTATACATACTCGTTCTTTAAACGCATAAATTACTAAATAAACAGAAGAACTGGTTAACGACCTGACTCTTGTTGACTTACCATCGTGAAATCGGTAGTCTTCTTCTGGACATGGTTTTGTGAATTTAAGCTCAGCCATTATGTTACTACTCATCGGTGAATCTGAAATGAGAAAATATTGAAAATTCAAATGAAAATTGAAGTTTTCCAAAACGTACTTCACTATATACACAAAGTGTACAGCTAAGAAAAACTATGTTCTTATAGATCTACTTAAATCCTCCTATTATTCAGAGATGAAGAAGCCTACTAATAAAAATTATGCATATATTCTGACTGATTGATTCTGAAATCACTTCGACAATATCTGTTCCACAGTAATTTCAAAATTATATTTATTGGTTTTTATTCCGATCAGCACATATTTTATTTTCATAGGTGCTGATCAACAATCTTCAGTTATGCAACTCAGACACAATCATACCTGTTCACAAACACTGGTGAACAAAGCCATTAGCATCCTTACGGATCATATTCATTAGTTCAACATTATACCATACAGTATTTACTGTCCTATAGTTCATTACAAAAAAAGGTTAGCAATAGAAAGCATTTTACTGGTTTTCAGATTTTATGCTACCTGCTATCTCTTCTGATTATGAAAAAGCTTTCGGTGTATTCCCACCTCAGAAAGTTCACTCAGTGGCAAATTCTAGTTGAAGTGGTCCATGGTTAATTCACTATTCAAAAAAGTAAATTTTTTTATGAAAATATAACACTGTATTGACTAACATCAGATGAATACACCATTGTAGGTGTAGAACTCGGGCACTGTGGTAGAATGTAATTCCATATTAGATAAATTTATTTTAAGAATCACACAGTGATGCAGTATTAACAGATGGATGACGTTTCAAGCGTAAATTATTGCCAGTCATATTTATATCAATTTAGTCACACGTTTTCACATTTTTGTCTTATATCTATTCTCTCTCTCTAGTCTGTCTCTCCAACTTTGCCTTGCTATTTGTTGCCACTTTTCATATTTCCCGTATAGACATTGCGTCATTCCAATTGTACGTGTACGGTGTTGAATTGATAAACAAAGCTTCAGTGATTAACCTCTCTATCTCTCCACCTAACTATAGTACTTTTTAGTACTCTCATACTGTCCAACCCCACGTATTGTGTGATTACTTGCAAGTGAATGCTGTGCAGTGGTTGATCTTTTATCCAGGTTATTTAACCTAGCAGGGTCAGTTATTCTAGGTCTATTTAAATTTTTATATATTCCAATAATCTAGTTGACCCTGATCTACCAGTTTCACCTATGTAATTGACTTCACAGTCATTACATGGTATTCGCTAAATTATATTATTTCTCCTAATTGGATCTGTCGGGTCCTTAAGCCGACAAAGTTTATCTCTGAGAAAGTTGTTTGATTTAAATGCCACCCTAATTTCAGAGTCATTGAGAATTCTACGTAAGGCTTCTGGCGTCCCTTGTTTATACAGTAGTGCTACAGAGGCTTTGTATTCTGAATTATTTTCGTCACTTTTATTGTTAGTCTTAGTTTTCCTGTGGTTCTTCATATATCTCTGAATAAATTCTAGTGGGTAGTTATTCACTAGTAATATTTCCTTTATTTGTTTGATCTCGAACACATCACTGTCAGTTTATGGAAACAAAAGACCATTTCTTGTAGAAGTGACTTACAAGTAATAAGGCTGATTGTGTTTTCTTTTTCCTATGAATACTACCCATCATAACATAAGCTCTATGAGTTAACAAGTTCTCGATCGCAACATGAAGTCATTTTATTCTTTGTTCGCAAAATATTATTTTTTTTGTCTAATAAAGCTGTATTAATTAAGAAACGTAGACTAAGGTCAAAATTCCCCCTTGAAAAAGAAAACTTTTTAGCCACAAGTTTTGCATAAATAACAAAAATTTGTGTCTGGAAGCCCCTGGAATTTTGTTTCCCACTAACATTAACCCCAAAACAAAAATATGCACAATGCATTACGTATTAGTGAAACGTCATCTAGTTTACTGACCATATTTTATCAATGATAGACAGATTTTGCTTAGACACAGACAGGGGAACTCATTTAATGACGCAATCGCTTCTTTTTCTATGTGTATCGAATATATATGTCATATTTGCTTATATTCATGAATTTTTTTGAACTGTTGAATGAATCAGCTATTCCAAATAAACGTGTAATAAGTATATTTACATAAAATGAGAGAAAAATATAATTTCGGCAATATTCAGAGAAAAAAAATGTATACACCAGTCATTAGAATTCTGTATGAAATGTGTTGCTTTCGTAGGTTATTTTCTAGAGATCGTTATATCTTTTCGATGAGAAATGAAAAGGTTAATAAATTGCTTACTATTTTCTTTTATATCACAGTCCAAAGTGCAACGATTCAGGGATATTTCCCACTAGTTTGAAGATGTTTTATTTAGAAGAGGTATAATTTAAATGGACAGTGGTTACCAATAAAATTCTCCCACAGTTTCAACAGTTACAAATCCACTATTATTTGTCTAGGATCCAAAGAACAACATATATATCAATTCACCTGCTCGTGTGGAGCTAGGTATATCGGTCGTTCGACTCGACCTGCATGGTTACGATGAGGTGGAAGTGGAACAATAAGAATCGCGATCATTAAACATCTGGTCGATAATGATCACCCTATCTCTATAACCTCCGCCTTTAAAGTCATCTACAAGGGAAAAAGCAATTTATCCAAATCCCTACGTACCCGACTCATTTGTATTGCTGCGGCTTTGGCTATCGAAACAGAAAAGCCAGATCTCTGTGTACAGAGAAAGTTCGTTCAACCCCTCCAACTTTCATGGTCTTAATCCCTCTATGCTAAAGTATGGCAATCCCTAATCATATTTCGGCTGTACCAATTTTTTCTTTTTGTCTATTCAATTTGTATTCTCTCAATTGTTACGAATACTATTCTCACTTTGAACTGTCCCCAGTATTATTTCACTCGTTCCACTTGTCATTCTAAATCAATTCCTTTTTACAACATTAAAATCTATGTTATCAAGTTTCACACAATATTACGTAGCGTTTTCATTTTATTCGATTTGCCTACTAATCCTATAATTGCACACCCCTTCCAAGTTCTATCCATCCTATGAATTATTCTATATATGACATTAATTTGCTTTGCCACTTGACATTTAACTACGATTATGATCACAAACATTTTAGTTTCAATTGCATTTCATATTGTTATTATTATTTTATGCATTCACACCTATGACTCAATTCCCCCACAGCGTATAACTTCTTAAAAAGCATGTATATACGATTGAACAGCTTGATAATAAATTCGTTGAAAAAAGTCTCTTCGCTGAATCACTTTTTTTGATTTTCTTTATCCAACATATAAATGACGAGATATTTTCAGGAAAGTTAACAAATATTTCTAGCCACATTGTTAATACACACTCGTTTCGCAGAATAATTGTGTACATTCAGTAGGGGAAGTAAACATGAAAATACATATATCTAGAACAAGAATAGTTAAAGAGAACAACTGTCTTCAGTATACTCTTCTACAGGTTCAACTATTATAAATCCGTTAATTTCAGCATACAACAGCCAGTAAAGGCAAATTAGAAGTACATCAAAATGTGTATTATATGGAACATGTACAAGATGGAATAATAGTCAGTTAGTTGTGATTATCATTTGGAATGTGTATGGTCAATAAGAACATAAGATAATTTCATGATATGTATATATTTATGGCCAAGAAAAGTACAGGTTTCAAGAGTGAGTTTAGTCAGTGGTGTGTAAGAGACAATGCGAACACTACAGAGAAATAAGCCACCAAATTGTATAGACTAGACAAACAGTAATAAAAATGATGAAATTATTTTTTATTTTGATTTTGATTTACAGCTTGATTCCACGCCGTATTTTCAGTACAAGTATGGAATTTTCAGCATGGATATCGGTAGCCCAAAGTTTGCAGGCCGACCATAGATATTGGGTGTGCGCCGGCAGGGGATCGAACCTCGGACCATGTGCATGGTCGGCGAGAGTCCTAACCACTGTGCCACCACGATGGTGTGGTGCAAACTTAAAATCACTCCTGGTGAATGATTATCCCATCATACTATATTTAATGAAGTGGAATGAACAGGATTGTGTTAATATAGTAATAAGTTTGAAAAGTATTACGTAAGCCCAATGGTAATAGACATAATAAGAAAGGTCATGAAGCTGTTGAAGCTCCGAAATAAACATTCACCTGTGAAACAAAGGGAGAGAATGAGATAGGGATCTGAAGTGTTAATTCTTATTTTGGAGAATTTGTTCACCTTATTTTAGGTGGTCAGAAGTAATTCTTCTAAATACAGACACTAGGTCTTCTGATATTGACTGTAACCTCTTCAGTAATACACAAGTGACTACACCCATCCCTTAAAACTCTTAATGATACATGCGCAAACACACTATTGAATTATTTTATTTTATGTTCTTATTCAGTTTACATTTTATACTGATTTAAGTGGTAATCACCATTTTTCCATCCTACACTTGTACTGCAATACACTTTCTGATTTAATTCGAACGTGTATTTACTGGTTAGTATATGCAAAAATTATCTGGTTTATAACTGTAGAGCCTGTGAGAGAATATGTTGTACACACTTGTCCATTTTAATCGTTCTTATTCCGAATAATCCATGGGAATATTCAAAGTATGTTGTTAAACATGAATACTAAGCTTGCCCCAACTATTTTTCACAATCTTGACCTTTTGTACGGCCACGTTTGGCTTACTAGCTTATCATACAAGATGGATTACAATTTTTAGGTTTTTGGGTATTTAACAGACATTCTAGTGGGATTTATCAGAAGCCGAAGGCAGATGAAGAGTTACTGAAAACCACAGTCCTTTTTACTCGAATTCAAGTATTTACATATACTACTCACAAGTGAGTGACCTCAAATAAGATCCTCCTAACGTTTGAATGAGCACTTCTGATGTGCGAAGTTAACCAATATGCACTTTCAACAGTATCAGAAGTTCCTTTTAAAATAAAGCCATTATTACTGTTTTGATACGAACACTGATGGGCTAGTGAATTTCTGCATATTAACTGAATGTTGGAATGTAACTTGTCAGTCTTCGACTCAGTAATTCACTATGGCAATTCATTTGGACTACTTTTTAGTACCAGGTAGGATCTATTCAGTTCCTGTTGACATACAATACGTCTTCCACTGATCTAGTTTCTAGTGATCAGAATTTTCACCATTTTCATTCACTGGATGATGTAAAAGCTACACCTGTCATGAGTTAGAAGATGGTACACTCAAACAAAAAGGAAATTTCAGTTATTCAGAGATTGATTTTGTCAAGTTGAATTGCTATGATACTTACTTTTGGGCAAATTAAAAATTCCCGTAGACTGATCAGAACAAGATGATTTTGAGTGAACAATTGTTTTCAAAATAAACTCTTCTTCAGACTCTATAATTATAAATCCATGAATATTCTAATACACATAACCATTAAAGGCATGTGAAAATGATATCGGAAACTGTATTGGAGTAGATGTATAAGATGGAACAGAAAAGGAGGATGTTGATAATGTGTAGACAAGAAACAACTGTTGTAGCGTGTTTCTCTCCCACTATTTCAGTTAGTTCAATAAACAACTTATATTATTATAGTAGTATTAAATGCTATCAATAAACAGAATAAAAAAACAACATAAAATATACTACTTACAAACTGCGATGCTTTCAAATACAAGGAAATTTAACATTGTATAGAATAGTAATATGAGAAAATCACACCTTCTAAAAGTTAAATTCTTCTTGAATACTGACATTTGTAGATAGTCTTTAGCAGTGAGTAGCTTAAACGTATTATACAATTAAATCAAGACAATAATAGAGTATAGGTTATGTATGGTGTGGAAATTTTTGCTTAAGATTGGAAAATAATAATATTTTAATTGTTGTTTGGTTATCTTTTAAGTAGGATAACAAGTGGAAGGATGTGTCCGACGCTTCTTGTTTATTGCACGATATATATATTTATGTATATGGTCACACTGATTGGGTGTAAGTGTTTGAACCAATTACATGACACACACTTATAAAATGGCAGGCAAAATAAATATGGTCTAAAAACAAATCCATCTTCCATAAATATACAATATGAGCATATTTATATCAGAGTGTAACAGGAATAATTTGTCAGTAATCACTCCAGTACATTCGCAATTGCTGTCGACCACTATTATTGTGTTTTTTTAAAACTTGAAACTCTAGTATTCTAAAGCAGTCTTTAGACACTGTTTCGTGATGGGTGCGTTGGTGGCACAGCGGTTAGGACTCTTGCCGACCATGCTGTTTACTGTTTAGAAGTACTATGCCAAATAATTTCAGCCTCACTGATGATGTCTTATCGTATAGAGGAACACTGGATACTCGGTTAGATAAACCGTATAATTTTCTGAGTCAATAAACGATTATAATAATAAAGCCAAATGACTGAGAGAGAAAACAACAAAACAAGATTAATTTTCAGTGTACTGGTTATACTATTGTTTCATACATCTGGACTTGAACAAACATGAATTAACTAAACAAAGGTTAATTCTGCATTAATACACTCAAATTATGCATTCCTTTTATGAATTATATATGTGCCAATATTACCCTTCAGTACAATAGATAGTGGCAGAGACAATGAAGAAGTAATTATACAGATAGTTCATTACTCGGATAAACGTAGCAGTTAGCCTTGATTGTTTAAAAAGCACATACTAGTTGTTTTATATTAAATAGATTTGAGTTAATACGTGCGTCAGTAGCTCAATACTAGAATGCTAACCGCCCACGCACTTGATCTCAGTTGATACACATCTCAGTGTGACCTACTTTACTTGCAGATAGTCCAGGGAAGGCTGGGTGTGAGGTTAGCGAATCCACCTCGTAAAATAGACAACAACAATTCTATAAAACACAAAATAATTGAGCAAAGAATATCCTTTTCGATAAATTCCTCTTCTGGCTCTACATTTATATATGTATATATGTTTATATACATAGAATATTCTAGATTAGTAGTCAGTAACAATATTAGCGTTTTTTAAAGGATATCGATTTGCAAAGCAAGATCAATGGAATTACAGTTCACTAAAGATACTTAAATTATAATAATAATAAAAACATAATAGCAAATAGAATATCAACTAAGGTTAAGGGAATTTCTACGAAAAATCGAGGATCATTCAAACCTGGATGGCCAGCGGGGTAATGATAATGTCTGAACTAACTTCTTTTGGACGCACAAATTAGGCTTCTTAATATGGATCCCCACAGCCTCAGCAATATTTAGTAGTCGAACTCTTAAACCAAAATTGAAATTCGTAGGTATGCGGTAAATGACCCTGAAAGCATGGTTAACGTCACTCTTGTGTTCCGTATCCACAAGATGAGACAGAATAGCGCTGCAAATAGATTTTGTTTGTCCTTTACTTACCCACTATGCAGGGTGATGTTGGGAAATTCGACAAGAAACACGACTAACTGTATGGCCTATGTAACTGGCTCCACAAGAGCAGTTAAATTGGTAGATACACATGGAAGAGGCGAAATTAGGCAGTTTGTCTTCTACTCCCGAACGCAAGAGAGGAGTGCCTTTGAAGACAGCGTAATTACGGCAGCGGGGAATGCTCTTTTTACCGCATTTCTAAGGCGCTGTGTTAGTATCTCGCTGCATTTGTAGGAATAAGGCCTTCTTAGGGACTGCTGGTACCTTGCGTTGCATTGATTTTAGATTCATATTCTTATCAGTAAACTTTTCTGGATAACCATTTTCACTCAGCAACCGTTTAATATTATTAAGCTCCTCATCAAGACATTCATTCGAGCAGATCACTCTTGCTCTTTGAACCGAGCAATTTATCAGACTGCGTTTGAGTTTCAAGGGCACGAAGCTGAAAAAATGACTATACTGACCCGTTGATGTAGGTTTTCTATGTACACTTCCTCTTTTCTGGTCATAAGGACGTCTAGAAATGAAATACTAGAGTCTTTTTCTTCTTAATACTAAAATTTATTGCAGGATGAACCTCGTTAAATTTATCCAGGATGTTTTTTGCTTCCTTTTCATTTTTCATAATTAAAAATGTATCATCCATGTGCCGATAATAGAATTCAAGTTCAGTAACACCTTTCAAAGGTTCATTTTCTAGTTTCGCAAAGAAAATGTCAGTTAGAATGGGTCCTAGTGGTGACGCCATTGCAACACCATCGATTTGTCTATGTAGTTCCTTATTAAATAAAAAGTGAACATTCATTCTACATTTCAAGAGAAGTTCTTTCACGATAGATATAGGAATGCCAACATCGATATTTCGTCTTATGAGTTCTTCGCATACAAAGTCCCCGTGTTTCCATAAGTGGTACATTGGTGAATAAGGAAGATACGTCAAATGGTATCATGAATTTATTGTCAACATTTAGATCTTTTATCCTTTCAACAAATCCAAGAGCATTCTTTACACTGTGTTTCATCAACTCGATATGAAGAGGCTGTAAGAGTTCGACTAACCATTTGGCAACGGGATTGTAAGGCGAATTTAAAATATCTAATACTGGTCGAAGCGGTACACCTTTTTTGTGCACTTTAGGCGAACCATATAATCTTGGTGTGGACGTTTCAGTGGGTTTAAGTGATGTATACTGACTGTGTGAGATTAAGCCTTGTTGTTTCAGCCTTCTCAATGTTTCCACAAACTGTTTCTCTATCTTTTCAATCGGATCCACAAAAGAGGAAATTTTTGGAATTTTAGATTATCATTCAGAATGGTATTCATCTTCTCAAAGTAATCCGCTTTGTTCCTGATAACCACTCCTGAGCCCTAATCCGGTCTTGTTATTATTGCGTTATCATTTTTACGGAGAACATCCAGAGCTTCTCTATGTTTTTTGCTGAAAATACTATCCGAATCGCGTTTAATAATCGTGTAATAATAGCAACAATCGACCATTGTTGATTAAAGTCTTTCAACATCTTCTAGTAAAACTGCAAAAGCTTGAGACAATGACTAGAAAAAAAGGAAATGAGTTGATTTATTGTAAAAATCATCTTTATATGGTAGTTAGGATTCATTTGACTCGAACATTTCACCAGTTGAATAAACTGAGGCGGTAATCTGATAAATTGTCTTCTAGTACTTTTAATTTTGAATAAAACTAGTGAATAGTTAGGCATTTTAGTGTCATAAATCTGAATTCGCTTCAAATCTTTAAGAGCAATTATGACATATGTAGCAAATGAATTATTTGATAGTGTGGAAAATTCCCATATTATGAATTAAAAGTCAATCTGAACGAAGAATATTCTTTCCAATAATTTCTCTTCAGGTTCTTACAATTATAAAATATAATATTTGTTGTCGTTACAATAAAGGCCTTGTCAATTTTCCTACCCCACACTCAACAAATCTAATATGATTAATCACCATTGTCTCCCGTTTTACAATATTTTGTAATCGAATTCAGCCTGGCACGTTTGTCACACAAATATGACTATTTATTTTGACACCCCATAACTAATCTGTTATTCTACGTTAAAAATGTACCTGTCGCATAACTGGCCTTTATTGTAACGACAACAAATATTATATTTTATAATTGTAAGAACCTGAAGAGAAATTATTGGAAAGAATATTCTTCGTTCAGATTGACTTTTAAATGAATTATTGACGAATTCTTACACTTTGACTGATAACAGTAATATATAGGTCAATTAACACCTAATAAAAACTACAATATATGATGGTGAGTCAGAGATATCAATACATAAATGATTATATTATCTGCAATAACATTTCTGCTCTCGAAATTTGATGATAATCAAGGTGGAAAAAATGAAAATATAAGGATGATTGTCAAGTATTTGTTTCTCACATGAACAAAACTACTTAGCACAGTGTCAGACAGACTATTCATCAATCAGAACTTCAGTATCATTAGCTTACTTGCTTCTAGGTTAATTTTGCACTTGCTGGATGGTTGATTATACAGGACCGAAATGTCCTGTCTCTGTTGACAGGACACTTCGACGATGCCTAGGGATTAACTAGACAAAATGGCTTAGTGTATAATGCCTTGGCATTCAAAATGACAAGTGCAGGCTTAAAGTCTCACCAGGAAAATCACCAGTCACTGAGAATTAAGGCACAAACGGGATAAAATGCGCATCTTGGATTCCACTGCTAGAGACTAGCAACCAAAATAACTTTATTGAGTTACATTTTATGATAACATTTTAACCGTAATATTCAGGCATATATGTAATAACATATGAATAAGCCAAAAGTTTTAACTTGTAGCATAATAAATAAAGAAGCCAATGTATTTTTCATTAGGAATTATATATATATATGTTCAGGTGGGTAATAGTGCCTCCAGAAGTGATCTTTTTTTCCTAATAGTTCAGGGCCGTTTAATTAAACTGGTATATAACAAAAGGACGTTTCTTCACATCAATACCCTAGGCTGATATATTCTAATAGGCAAAATAAAGTATATACTGCTGCCCATCGATTGATAACCGTTTATCCTAATAATTTTATGGGCAAGCTGCACGCAAAACATGACTATCCAGTACGTTTGAAATGAATAACAAATAAATATGGTACTGAAGTACTTCAGTGATTTCAGCTTATACACCTAAGTAGCACTAGATAGCGGTATATTTTCATTTGAGAGTATTCCTCTGTTTTTACTGAATCCTATTCTGCCTTTGTGCGTTGGTGGTATAGCGGTTAGGACGCTCGCCGACCATGCACATGGTCTGGGGTTCGATCCCAGGCCGACGAACTCCTTTACCTCGCTAAGCCAGAAGTAGTGCTGGTAAAGAGGAAAGGTTGGGAACGAGGCCAGCAACCCCATCCTGTAAAAATAATCACCACTGCTACAGAAACTTCAAGCCACTAGCTTGGAGCCCTATGTTCCACTGGGGAACGTGAAGGAAAACAAA